TCTTTGGTCAAGGTAAGGCAGAATTTTTAGACTTGTAGAAAAACAGATTTCGATTCAGAAAAATAACGCATCATTGGAACTTGTATACACTCTTAAAGCAGAACAACAGACTATGTTACTGTCATGAAATACTAGTAGTAAATTTGATTCAATAGGTTGAGAGAATTCATCCATAAGGGAACTTTGTACCATATAGAACATGTACAAAGGCTACAGAACCATCTATAACAGCTATACTCCACCTATACCTATGGATCTATCGAGGAATAAATGATTTTGAAAAAATACATATTGTATCGACAACTTCATTTCAAACTTAGATCATGCAGATGGTCATGCATGTTCTGATAAAACTCCAAGTACCCTCAAAATACAACTCATATTTCCTGTGTTCTCACAAGACTGGGCCGTCTTGGAATACTAGTATAAGCTTGCTCAAAGAACCAAGAAGAAGGATTTGAATCGTTTTGATTGCCAACTATCATCACTTCAAAGATTGTGGAAGAAAAGAAGCCATCGAAATCCACCACAACATATAATCGTTTACTGGCGAAAGGAAAACTACAACCCTGTTAACAAAACCCACTCACTACAGAAAAGTGGGACTTCCACTACTTCTTAAAAAGAAGTCAACCCCAAAAAACAGTTATCTCGAAGATGTTCTTAGTCACTCGCTTCGCTTGTCACCCTTCTCAATCTTCTTTCGTCTAACCGAAGTTAGGTACTCATTTACACCTGAGTGAAGTGTAGAAAGCCGTGTAAAGTGCCTTTCCCAAGGGCACAAGATCAGTGACATGGGTGGGGTTCGAACTCGGGACCTCTTGGTTTTCCGAGCCGAAGACGCAACAGCTACGTCACCGCGGACGACCCCTCTTTTTATACATCGTAATTACATTTTGCCCTGGACAATGCACTTTCAAAATAAAAGTACATATTATCGATGCAGTTATGTAACGCTTATTAACAATGCATGGTGTCGACACACTCAAGATATTGGTTTATTTTCATGCTCGTACCAAAGTTGTAGATACCTGCTCATCTACAGATTCCGTTGGTCATTGACGAGAAGCAGTGGATGCCACTTGAAACGTCTGACAGTTTTCAAAACCTATCCTGTTTCTTCAGCAGGCAACTGATTTTTTGTGCAAAGGGACAATTCTTAATAAAAAGTAAGCAATGCAGATGCACGTTTTTTCTATCATACAGAGAAGTGTAGCAGTCAATCGGTTGAACAGACAACTTACACTGTAATTGTTACAGTCTTGTTAATACAGGCACGTAGTCTATTCCATGTGAAAAAAACTGTCAGACAACGCTGTGCCCCATGTACATTGTTTTACCACAGACAACCTTCTTCTGATTGATGTACATAGAAGCTCCATAAGCCTAAAACA